TGAATTGGCGCTATATAAATAAACTGAATTGAATTGAATTGAATCCAGCTGGGATTAATTATATTGAATTATATTTTGGTCTCAGATTATTTATTATTCTCCTCTCTGTCATTTCTGCCTGTTGATTTTATTCTGTGTGTCTCAGAGCTTCAATCTAATATAGAAATAATTATGATTTATATAAAATCACCTAAAGAAACTTATGAACCATGAAAAAAACAGACCAAAAAGTAAAGCTGTTTGTTCACCTCGGACATTTAATCAGTTATTTCCATCCTTTAAAGTGATACCTGTAAATAAAATAATCTACTATATATACGTTACTACCTCTATGGGATGAGGCTTTTGAAGATTCCTCTGAAAATACATAAAAACTATTAGTTGATAAATAAACTGTTAACTTTGAAATTGAAATTAGTGGTCCTTTTATTACTGAGAGGGTAAAATGATTATTTTATGACAGATGATAGATTTACATTTAGGATCATTCTAAAGTTTAAGAAAAATCCAAACCCTGGACTGAAAGAAAACATCTCCTTTTTAAAATGAAATTCATTTGAAATGTAAATATAAGCATAAAGAAGAAAATCAAAGAGAAAGTGTGAATCGGTTGTTTTTATTCATTAGTGGTTAAACTGTTTTCAGGAATCATTTCCAGATAAAGCAGAAGATGGAGCAGCTCCTCTGGATGCAGGTGATGATGCAAAGCGAGGCGTTCAGGTGCTGCTGATCTGCAGAGTCACATTATATACAGGAGGAAACGGGGAGCTGGTTCTGACCTGCTTCAGGTGTTCTGAAGATCAGATCCATCTACTCTACTGGACAGAAACTCTAAAACTGGAGCTGCAGGAGAAGAAGCTCAGAAGGTCAAACAGAACATAACTATTCCTCAACACTAGGGGGCAGTGTTAGACAGAAGAAGCTGCTGTGGGTGTGGTTCGAAGGCCCTTTTGGGCCATTGACTTTAGCTTTAGGGGTCAGGTTGGCCATAAAAACGAACATTTAGTGAGAAACATTTGACAGTTAAAGGTTGTAGTGACCAAGGTGAGTCCTTCTCCTACTCCTCCTCTTCTGAGATTCAGCCTCTTTAGGAGAAATGATCAGAAATCCTCTTATGAAAGGATCAGAGTCTGTGGCAGGAAATTTAGGTGGAAGGTAGACATCCTAAACTAAGAGGAGAAACATCTAACAGTGCTTCTAAAAAGGATACATAAAATACCCCCCCCCCCCCAATTCTGTTAGAGTCCAGCTCCTTCTGTCACCAGAGGACATGATGGAGCAGGAAGACCAGGACGTCCCTCAGGGTCCAATTGGATTGATTCCATTTTACTTCGTCCACCTCAACAGGAATAAGATGGACGGATGAAAACTCGTTCCTGTGGTGGTGAGTAGGAACCGTCTGGTTCTGGTAGGGATGGTGACCAACCCTCTAGATGGTGACCTTCATGGTTCCTGTGGTGTTGAGTAGGAACCATCTGGCTCTGGTAGGGATGGTGACCAACCCTGTAGATGGGGACCTTCATGGTTCCTGTGATGGTAAGTAGGAACGGTCTGGCTCTGGTAGGGATGGTGACCAACCCTGTAGATGGGGACCTTCATGGTTCCTGTGATGGTGAGTAGGAACCGTCTGGTTCTGGTAGGGATGGTGACCAACCCTGTAGAAGGGGACCTTCATGGTTCCTGTGATGGTGAGTAGGAACCGTCTGGTTCTGGTAGGGATGGTGACCAACCCTGTAGAAGGGGACCTTCATGGTTCCTGTGATG